ACATTTGTCGCGAAAAATCCAGATATGCCCTCGATGAATATCCGGATATTGCACTATTTTCGAGCGAAATTATATTTTTCCCAAACAGAACCTTGATAAATGATATAGGACCCTTAAGATATTAGAATAGACCTTTGTAACATGAGTCTAAGTCATAAATTAAGTAACATATGCTTGTGGCTTTGGAAAAAGCCTCAAGTGTTATAGATGGCAAAAGATAAGGTTGAAATGAATGTGGTAGACTAGTGTATATGCTAATTGCCTTCACATCTTTGAAATAGGTTGCTATGATTGTGATCTCTTGGGTACCAAGGATACATTGGAGGATATACTTGTGAAAGGTAAGCTTTCGGTCCTCAAGAATAATTCTCTGTTTGTTCCACCAAACTCTATGGGAGGATGGTATATGTGAATATATATATATATATATATATGGTATACTGTTTTAAATTGAGATATTGTATAATGCATTCATATGTATGTATGTTGGTGTGTTTTTCACACAAGATGGTAATCCCTAAGTGTGGATGTTTCCACACAAGATGGTAATTCCTGAGTGTGGGGTATGAGGTGATACCTTATACTTGGTATGTAACAAGATGTTGCGTAAGTCATCCATATATTTTCTCTGGCCAGTAGGATTTATTACTGCACATGCATGATATATATATATATATATATATATATATATATATATATATATATATATATATGTTGACGCATTATATTGTTTTATGATGATACATTGTTTTATTATGATTATACTGTTTTTGTTAAGATTATACCTGAAGTGAACTTAGAGGCGAAGGAATCCTTCGAGGACCCTCGTTTGCAGAGATTGTTATCTAACCCCATGTGGGGGCTATATTTTCAAGTACTAAGACTCATGATGTTGGTGCATCTCGTGGCAAGAGGCCGACATAGAGATTATAGCATGACATGAGACATTTATTGCCTTCATTTGATATGCATATATTTGTATGAGACATGAATGCCATCTGAAGTATTATGTTATGTTATATTTACGAAGAACATAGGGGTTGTCTATGCCTTTTGGAATAAGCATGTTTACTTTTGCCCGAGAACATGTATAAGCTTATAGTACTGAGTATTTATATTGTTTTGGTTATGTAATGTAATTATTTACATGCTTATTATTTTGAGACAGGACATATTCATGTGTTATAAGAGCCTACACAATAGATTGATAGGCTAGGTTATGCCTATATGTTTGGTTGTGTAAGTTGTCCATGATGTAATTACCGAGAAAATGTCGTAGGATAATTAGGACAGGAACGTCAACAAAACCTTACATAATGGAATGTGTTAAGTAAACCGGTATCAACGGATAGCATAATGGGTTAATGTTAAATTAATTCCGCATTTTGCAAAACATAAGGAAAAAGGAAAAAGTTTATTCACTTACTATTACAAGGCAAATCGTAATAATAGTAATTAGCTTCCATATTTATTTAATTAAACATGTTGCGCCTAATATCATATGTATGTTAATACACTGGGGACCGACGGGGTGTTGCACAAATCCTTGGAAGACCATTACTTCAATCTTTGAATGAAGTGATTTCAATAATCAATTCCTGAGTACATTGAAGACTTACCTGAGTATGCAAGGGAGCAGCTACCTTTGGCCTTTTCAAGACTATTGATGAGGGCTTTTATCCTTTCAATTTCATCAGATTTTAGACTTTCTAAATCTGGTTGAGATGATTCTTTTGCAGATGTTGCAACATATGCCTGTGATCTTTTCAGATTGATTGTTCTTGGATCCCTATTATTGGCTAGGGGGTTTTTCATTCAACTTCCAACACTTGTCACAAGTGTGCCTTGGTTTTTTTACAATAGGTACCCCATAAATTATCACGACTTTGTCCTTTTTGGTGGTACCTGTTTTTCCTTCCTCCAGCTTCCATCCAGATTTATTAACAATCATTGCGGCACTATCACTGATTTTAGTTTCCAGCATTAGACCCCTCCTACTTTCTTCACTTCTGATGATTGAAATCATTTCATTAAGAGATGGATGTTCAGGTCTTCCAAGGATTTGAATCCGAACTTGGTCAAATTCTGAATTTAGACCCATAAGAAAGTCATAAACTCGATTCTGCTCAATAAAATTCTTGAGAACTGCAGTATCTTCTGAGCATTTAGCTTTATAGTTCAATAATGATCTAGCTCTTGCCAAAGAGAATTAAAATAATTGGCATATTCTGTAACAATTTTGGAACCTTGTTTTGCTGCAACTATCTTGACTCTTACCTCATACTTGGGTTGTATCTTCAGCCTTGGACTAAGTGCCTCTAGGACAATCCTATCTAACTCCTGGATACCGGATTCAGGAGCCACAAATGATACGAGCCATTTATCTTCCCTTGTCTTGAATATGTCCCTTGTCCTAGTAGCAGAAAAATTTCAACTGCTGATGGATATTTGGGTAGGGGTGCTGGAATTGGAACTGTCCATCTCAGCCCACTCATCGTTTTGAAAAAAGTTCTTCAGGTCCCAAAACTAGGGGTGGCAAACCGTGTCATGACACATCAAAATGCAAGACGTGTCTACCCGTGGGATAAAACGGGTCATGTGCGGGTTTGGGTAAATAACACGAATTAGTGTCATGTCGTGTCACAGGTTGGCCCGCGTATCAACCCGCAAAATGTTTTTGTCAAAATAAAAACAAAAGTTAAAATTTTTGTGATTCTGACATACTCCATTGCGGGTCACAGGTCAACTACATATTTTATTCAATTTTTCCCTTTTATTTTTAATTTTTTCATAAAAAAAAATTCAATTTTTCAACTTTTGCAAGTCAACCTGTGTAACCAGCAACTCACGGCGGGTCGTGTCCGAGTTTCAATTTTTGACCTACGAACAAAAACATGTGTATGAGTCGGACAATTTGACCTGTGGGTCAGACTTGACATAGCATGAACCCGATCCGCCGACACATTTTGCCACCCTACCCAAAACTATTCACTAATTTGATCTCTGTAAAAATGCTAACCATGGACCTATGTAGAGGATCACCGGGAAGAAGTATTTTATTTAAAAGAAATGAAGGAATTCTACCTGAAGCCTATACCAATGCTGACTATGCTGGTTCGCCTAGTGACAGAAGATCTACCATTGGGTATTGCACATTCATTGGACGATTAAAAAACAGAATGTAGTTGATAGGTTTAACGCAAAAGCAGAATTCAGGACAATGGCTGAACGGATATATGAATAGTTGTGGATAAAAATTCTTCTTGAAGACTTAAAAGTAAAGTGGGAAGGACCAATGTGGCTCTATTGTGATAACAAGTCTACTATTAGCATTGCTCATAACCCTTTTCAGCATGATCAAACCAAGCATATTGAAGTTGCCAGACCCTTCGTTAAAGAGAAACTTGAGAATGGATTGATTTCTACTCCCTACGTAGCTTCAGAACATCAAGTATCAGATATTTTCACTAAAGATTTAAGCAGTCTGCGTTCCAAAGTCTAGTGTCCAAGGTAGGAATTGAAAATCTCTATTCTCCAGCTTGAGGGGGAGTGTGGGAAATTATAAAAAATAAATTAATTGGGTGCTTTTGTAATTAATATAGATAGTGGAGCATGATTAACGGAGATAGTGGAGCATGATTAATGGAGATACTTCGAAAATAATCACTAAGGAAGAGTGAAAGACTCTTGTAAATATCAGATGCATTTATTGTATTTATTCTCCCTTTTGAATATAAATAGATGTAGAGTGCTTGGTCTGTTTTAAGCCAAGCAATTCACCCAAAAGTGCAAGTATTATTTCCTCTTCATATTCTATATTTTTCTGCACAAATTTGATGAAACCAATTATAGGATATTAATGCCAAACAATTAAGTTTTATGCTTTAAGAAAGAGTTTGAATTTATTTGCCTTAATTAGCTTATCCCATAAGATTACATTCTTGATGAAATCAAGAAAACAAAATAAGTTTTAACACTTTTTTAATAGCCTATATCAATATGCTTCTCATAACAATTATCACCAGCTTCCTGACATACAATTAATAAGTTGTGTGTCCCTTGTCATATATTGAAAATTTAATGTAATAAGTAATCACCTTCCTTAATAACCAAATCAACAGCAACTAAGAGGGAATCCTCAACAAAAATTATTACTTGTAAATCAACACATGTACATCTATCTTAATCCCTAAAGCAATTTATTATGAAGAAAATTGCTTTATTTTTATCACAGATGTTTAAAGTAGCTTGATCTACAGTTGGCAAAATGGATCAACCCGCCAAAAATGGGATGGGATAGGTTGATTTGCCATTGGTGAGTGGATTGAAAACACCAACTCACCACATTCTGAGGTGGGTTGGTGGGTCAACCCACCTAAAAAAATAAAAAATAAATTTTTTTTCCTAATGTGTCATTTAATATTAAAAAAAAATAGTTATATTGGGATTACCACATTATCTAATGACTTGTGGGATTAAATGAGAAGTTTGAATTGGTGTGTAAATTTGTACAAATATTATTATTAGAAAATTGCTTTAATGATAGTATTTTGCATAAAAATGCTTGTCTTTTATTTTGTTCAGTTCAACCTTATGTTATAATGATAGTGAATTGACCATGGGAGACCACCATAGATGTTGCAATTTTGTAACAAAACAACAACATATTCAAATATAAAGTCAAATGTGTCGTATATAACATAGATGATACTAGTAAGGTGAATATGTTTGTGAAGAAACAATAAAATATATAAAGATGACAAGTTACATTGGGAAAAAAAAACTGACCCACCCTGCCCCACTTTGACCCACCTACATGCAGGGCGGGTTGAAACATATAATCCACCCTGCCCTGTTTTGGCAAGTTGACCCGTCGGGTTCAACCCATTTTGCCAACTCTACATTGATCTTTACTTTTCTAGTATTAGAACAATAACGCAGCATAACTTATAGAAAGTGAATATATAAGCAGGGTAAGTTTAAAAAATAAAATCACGTACCTTTAGATTTATTACAGCAACTTTATTGGCTGGCGTTGAAAGCTGTTCACTGATGTAGGCCATAGACTTCAACATTGGTTCCAAAGATACTCTTGAGAGCTGAAACTTAACCTCAGATTCTGTTGACGGAGTCTTGCTATAATCTTGCAACTGCAATATTAACATGTCAACATCAACACCTTTATCTCGAACTAGTTGGAGTTAGCAGCAGATGAACCCAAATGACAAGTAAGAAAAGATTGAGAGGATGAGAAAAAAAAGACACTAGAAATAAAATAAAATGGAAATTCAAATTAAAAAAAGAAAAATATTAGAAAGAAAAAAAAATAAAGTGAAAATAAATATAAATAAGAGAGAAAAAAATAGATAAGAGAAAAAAGAAAAGTAAAAACAAAAATACAGAAAATGAAAAAAAAATAAAGAAATAAGAGGAAAAAAATAAAGAAAACAAAAAAAAGTTAGAGAGGAAAAAAAAAGAGAAATATATTAAAGGACTTAATCTAGTTACTGGGTATCAAATATGTTGAGAGGGGGTCAGAGGGCAAAAGCAAAGTGATTTGCCAAATGAAAGGCTACAAAAGATATTTATACCCATGCAAATAAAGTACTGATATCTCAACCAATTTTAAAGTTAAACTATATGAAGAATATAACAATAGTTTTTTCCCTAATTTGAGGTTAATATGAGCATACCTTTAAATTGATAACAGCTAATCTATTCCCCGGAGTTGAGTTTTTGTTCTCCATTACCCACGTCATTGATTTTAGGCATGGAAGAACCACCTACATGAAAGAACCCAAGGACCATATCAATGCCATGGAATCCTATTCCATTAATAAAAAAATGGTTCTCTTTTTAAGTACCATGTTTTCAGATGGACCATCATCTCGATGAAGAGATACTGGGGCCATTCGTGGCAAATTTAGATCAGCAACTGATTGAATAGGACCACCAGCATCATTAAGATTAAACCTCCTTGCTATTTCATCTTGCTGTGGCCACAAAAGAGGAGTTGTATCAAATGTTGAAGCAGCAGTTTTCCTGTCATCATAAGCAGTCCCACTGGCCTGATTACTAGGAGGTGTAACTTTGGCAACACTTCTTTTCAGAGCAGCAACCTTCTTTCCACCTTCTCTAAGACCACTCATCGCAGCATTATATGTTTCCACAGTTATTGCCCCTTCCTCAGCATATCTGATGGCTTCCCGACATAGATTGCTATATCTAGATGTCAGAGACTCTTGTCCGTGTGATTCAACAGCACGTTCATCCGAACCAGAAATGTTTTTGGCATTCCTTGTCCACCGTTTTAAGATGTAATGGGATGGTAATGTAAGGACATTTGTCACAGTGAAAACAGTTAAAACATGCCTGCAAAGAATGCCTGAATACTCAAACATTTGACAACTACAGTTAGCTCTCAACTCAGAATGATTTAATGTGACAATATATGCCTTTTGGACATCCTCGAATTTTGCAACCCTGAATGTGCTATTTGCCCCATCTCCTTCAATTCTATTTGCAGTATAAACAAAAGTTTCAACTAGCTCTTCCTGAAACTTTGAAAATATTTTTCTTGTATAAAGATTAGCAGCCTGTTTCTCCATAGGTGAAGGTGTTTTCAAGACTGGTGTTGTGCAGATTGTCTCAAAATCTGCTTCTATTTCCTTCTCAATCCAGCTCTCTAAAGCTCTTTCATACTGCCTAAAGAACAATGGCAATGTTGTCTGCTGATTGACATAACCATCAAAAAAAGAACCATCAAATCCTTGATTAGGAGATATTGCAGCAAAAAAAGAATCACGGAAGTATGCTGGAACCCAGTGAGCACGAGCATTATACAACGACTGAAGCCAATCATTTCTTCGGAGTTCATATTTATCAAGGATAGAATTCCAAGATGACTCAAACTCCTCAATGGTTTCTGTCAGGTTAATACAGTTATAAAGTTCAACCTGGAAATTTGGATGCGCAAGACATACATGGGCCAACTTTTCCTGGCCTTCTCTCAAGACATGCCACCTGCTAATGCAGTGGCGAGTTTGTGGGAAAACTTGTGAAACTGCTGTCTGTATTGCTCTGTCTTGATCAGTAATTATAGAGACAGGCTGGCGATCATTCATTGCTGTCAGAAATGTCTTAAAGAGCCACAAAAAAGATGCCTCAGAGTCATCCAAAAGCAGTGCACAACCAAACAAAAGCAGCTGACCATGATGGTTTACCCCAGTAAAAGGAGCAAATGGCACTCTGTATTGATTTACTCTGTATGTTGTGTCCAGATGAACTGCATCACCAAAATGACTGTAAGCTGTCCTTGATCTTGCATCTGCCCAAAAGACATTAGACATATGATTTTCTTCATCAAGTTGTATAGCATAGAAGAAACCAGGGTTCTCAGCCTGCATTTTCTTAAAATACTCAAGCAGATTATGAGCATCCCTTCCCAATGTCCTGTTTTGAAAAGGTGGCCTAACAGTGTAATTCATCAATGTAGAATTATTAACTGGGTGGCTTGGATCCCCAGCAGCAGAAGCATGAATATTCCTAATTACACGAGTATTCTGAGTAGAAATGCGATTCCCATCCATAGATACATACATGACACCACTTGGAACAAGTCCCACTCCTTGATAAGTTTCAGGCATTGTCCTTCCAACACTAGAAAAATGCTTACGTGGCCGAAGGTTATGCCCCTTGTTTGAACTCACCATGGAATGACCATGCTCCTTCACAAATTTTGTCAAAATCCACTTATTATGACCCTTTAACTCAATCCTAATCATTGCATCACAACTATCATTAAACCTTTTTTTCAAACCTTCCCTACCACACACAAACTCCCGATACATATTTGCTCCATCAGCTTTAGAGCGACTACGCGGGCCAACTTTAGTCATGAAACCCATGCGTCTAGCATACTCATCATAAAAAGTCTTAGCAACATCTTCGGAATCAAATTCCATACCCACATATGGCTCAGAAATCCCAACCTCAATATGAGATCCAGAGTTTTCAGCATTATTAACATCACTGTCGCTTGGTTCTGCATCCCCATCATCTGCCTTAGCTTGATGACCACATCCTTCTTCGACGTTTATCACTTGAACTTCCATTAGAAACAATTTATAGCGCTATGTTACTGTGTGCGTATTTCATGGGTAAATGTATGGAATGCTTTAACCCTATCAGATAGAAAGTAAGTGTTATCTAAGTTTCATGTGCTCCGAGTAAATTCAAAATTAAAATATGCAGTTCAAGAAGATTAAATAATGATCTCCAAAGACTGCTCAAAGCTTCTTTATAAAAACTCCTCCATCACTTCCTCTGCACATGTTAAATCATTTTATCCTTGTACATTCTCAATAACTAAAAGGAGGTAAACAAAGAAAAAGAACTACTAAACTACCAAAAGTAAGCTTGTTCAGATAAAATTTTACCGAATTAAGCTTACATGAAAATGAAATGACATAAAATTATTCTGTCTGATTAGAACCCAGTCTTCTATGTGTTTAAATTGCAATTCAAAACCAACTTGGTTCAGAAAGCAGGCACAGGTCCAAAAGGAATCCTATACATACCCAAACTAAGCCAATAAGTAATAACACAACACTTCAATGTCAAATAAGTGTAAGCTAAATATAATAATGACTAAAATTCACAGATTTAGTAATAAATTAATCGTGACAATTTAAAAATTGTAGAAACTGCAAAAACTTCTGTAAAAAGAAAACAAGAAACAATAAACATTCTTGTAAAGAACCTTGAGATACATCACCCCAAAAGCTAGCTCAAAACCTTATAAACTCCACATTAGTTGCACATACAACCAATGTGGGACTATATATCACACGAGAGCCCATTGGGCTTGAAGAGGAGACAATGCAACAGGCCTAGCCTACCTGTGCTAAGAAAAGCCACAAGAGAAAGTGGGGGGCGGTAAGGCTCTGATACTATGTAAAGAACCTTGGGATACACCACTCCAAAAGCTAGCTCAAAGGATGGGAGTGACCAAGGCCTTATAAACTCTATATTAGTTGCACATACAACCAACGTGGGACTATATATCTCAACAATTCTATAAAAATTAATAAGGCCCCAAATACATATGATTATGGCCAGCAAATACAAATAAGTTTGAAACTTGAAAATTCACCCAGAAACGAGAACAATTACAGAATTCATTCACCAAATGATTTTGCGCAAATCAACGTAGAAATTGGAAACCCTAACTTACAGCAATGATTATAGCCCTCAGAAATTATTAGGAGTTGACGACAAATTGATTCAATAATCTTCAAATTTCAGAGTTGAAAAATCCAAGGAAATCGAATTCCTGGAAAGCACTTATCTTCCGAACAGTGGTGGAAACTCGTGAGAACAGTGAGGTTCGGGAACGTAACGACCGCGTTTTGCAGGTGGTTAGGGTTTCTCCACCACCGAGAGTTGCAGAGACAGAAAGAGAAAGAGAAAGAGAGGAAGGGGAGCGTGAGTGCGTGTCACACAGATTCGATGTGACATAAGTACACGCGTGATATGTGCCGTTCGATATAGATCAACCGGCTAGTTTTGGTTTAGACCAAACACCTTTCCCTTTTGTCAAAGTGGTGTGGGTTCAACTTTTTCGTGTTTTGTGGTAGGATTTGTCAAGTGCATCATTTCTTTTGTGTGGCATCCTTAACATACTAATTTCCATCATCACGTTTCTTCTCTTTATTTATTTTTTATATAGTTATTTTATATTTCTATTTTTGGGAAATCAATGATGATTTTTTCTTTACATAAAAAGGATTATTGTCAATGTTATTAACATCGAGATATTAAGTAAAATTGGGAGAAAATTAAAAAATTATTATGTAAAAAAAATCGTGATAAATCAAGATTTTAACAACAATAATTATTTTTCAAGGAGAATCCCGAAAAGGACTTCTGGCGTTAAGGCCCAAGAGCATGTTTGGATAAGTTTTTTTTCTTCAAAAGCTATCTTTTTTTAAGAAAAAAAAAAGGACTTCCTGAATAAAGTATATTTGGATGTCTGCTTTAAAAAAAATAGAAGTCATAAAAAAATAAAAAATATGTTTTTTTTAAACTAAAAATTTTAGCTTCTAAAAAAAGCAGAAATCAAGAGTCAAATATTTTTTTCAAAAATCACATATTTTTTTAAAATTTTAAATAGCTGTAGCTTTTATAGAAGATACTTTTAAAATAAAAAAATTATAAAAAGACTTTTTTGATAAGTGAATACAAATGGGCTCCAAGTTACTCTTGGCTAAGAGCTTCCAACTAAGAGTCCGTTTGGATGGGCTTTTTTTTTCCAAAAGTTACTTTTTTTCTTGAAAAAAAGCAATTCTCAATTTTAGTTCATTTAGATATCTACTTTTAAAAAAAAAAGCAAAGTCACAAAAAAAACCCCAAAAACCTATTTTTTAAAAATTTTAACTTCTAAAAAAAGTAGAAGTCAAAAGCTAATTTTTTTTTTCAAAAAATATTTTTATAAAAATATAAATAACTTTAACTTTTATAAAAACAATTTCTAAAATAAAAAAGAGATAAAAGTTAGGGAAAATAAACGGACTCTGAGTCATTCGGAAGCCGAATTAGCAGTGAGTCTGTTTAAACCCACCAACCTCGAACATGGGTCTGTGACCCACGATCTTCTGAATGTCACTCTTTCACTCATGCCACTTTGCACCTCCTTAACCGTCCAATATAAATCTGTCAATACGGGTTAAAAGCCTTTCAAGCCCCATTCTCAACCCTATCTTTTTTCAGCCCTCAATTGGTAGGGCCAAAAATGGCTTAGCTCTAATAACCCTTTCATCTTTTGGGTTATGGTTGGGTTAACCGCGGGCCAGCCTTAATTTCTCTAAAATCTATCTTTTTTCCTCCTGGTTCTTTTTCTTTATTTGGTAGCTCTTCCAATTTTTTCTTCTTCGACAAAAGTAATGTCGTCATTTTCTCTATCAAATCGCAGTTAGGTACTTCAATGGTTTCATTCTCAGTGACTAGTCTTTCAAATTTTTGACTGGCATTTTTATCTCGATGGTTTTTGTGTTGTTGCAAAGAAGGACGTTGTCTTGAAATTGCAGCGCTTCTCACAAAGAACAAGCTTTTGGTATCGGTTACTACTGGAGTTAAGTTGAAAGATCTTCAGGTTGTGGAATTGTATTTTCCTTTTCTTTTCTTTTTCTTGTTTTTTGAATGTGTGTACTTGTGCTGTTGGAGTATAATTTCAATAGGAACATAACATATAAAAAAAATTTGGCTAAAAAATAGAGTTAAAGAAAAAGCTTATAACATATTGCTTCATATTTATTGAAGAACGTGGGATAGTAAGAAAATAATATAAAATATAAAATAGACATTCAAAGGGTTCTTGGTTTCATCACAGTAATTCACTACAAGCCATTGGATAACTGTGCTCAGACATTGCAGGAACTTAATGTTGTTTTTTTTTTTTTGGTATAAAAACTTAATGTTGTTTTTGTTTTAAGAATAAAGTTCATTTTGAGTCCCTAACAAAAAATACGGTCTCCACTTTAGTCCCTTACAAAAAAATTAGTACTGAGATCCCTAAGACATTCAAAGTAGACCTATTTAGTTGAAATTATGATCCCTCATAAATTCAAAAAAGACCTACATTAATCCCTCAAAAGGTCAAAAATGGGTCCACTTTGAATTTTATAGGGACCAGACGACAACTTTTTTCTGTAAGGTACTAAACTGAGGATCATATTTTTTGTTAGGGACCCAAAAGGGACTTTACTCTTGTTTTAAATAATTAATTCATGGCTCGCGGGCTGGCCCTAATCCGTAGGGTTGTATGGGGTTTTAGCCTGTGCAGGTTTTTACATTTGCGGGCTTTTTGACCCTATCTCGCGCAGGTTAGGGCCTAACGAGGCGGGTTGGCCCGTTTTTACAGTTATAGTCCCATATACTACATTCTGAATATAGCCTAATCTATTCCCAAAGCACTCATTATCTCCAAGTGTTCACACATAAACCCTTGATTCATACCATCAAACTATTGGCTAGAGGTATTGTGCTTCCTATTGCCAGCATCTCTACCTCCACTTCATAAATACAAACAGCACTTTAGCTAGATTTCTTTGTTCGCATATGAACATTTGGCATTGTCTCTAGGAAACACTAAATTCCTAATCCCACCCAAATTCTCATGGCTAGTAACAAACATTCGAACTGAAGCCCAACCAATGGACTACTACCACCCATCTTGTAACAACCTATTACGTACCGATATTGTTAATATTGATTATGATATTAAGCGTGTAACACCCCGTGTGTACCCTGGTGTATTAAACATATAAATGGTAATAGAGCAACTCAATAAATACGGAAGCTAAATTTTTCCAATTATGAAACCATTCATATTAGTCAAGTGAATTTACTTATTCTTTTTCAAAATATCGTCTATATGTAAATTGTAATAATTAACTACACTGAATAACCTCATGACATATATAAGTATCAGCCATGATCACTTGGAAAAGTGTATCATGTGGTTGATTTAAAGTATACATGAAAATATATAAATCAAGGATGTGTAATTACAAGCTTAAGGTAAAAGGATTTAAGCTTAAGTTGAAGAAACATCTTGAACATTTACCTATATAAGGTTTTGGCCAAGCATGCTCCAAGGAGTATGTGATGTGTTTAAATTATATGTGACATGGAATCATAAATAAAGATAAGTATATATGAAAGCCTAGAATAGATGGATCCATGATTGATTGGAAACTAAATTATAAATATCTACACAAGTAGAGCCACAACCATGCATACTTTAACAAGTGTGTCATGTGCTTAAATTCAAGACTACATGAAAACACAAATAATGATGTATATCGAAAAGTTTGAAGTGGTTGGATTTGAGTTTAGATGGATGAAAAATTATTAAAACCCACACGTGTCAATTCGGCCATGTGAAACAAATGGACTTTGAAATTTACTATCATGATGTTAAAATATTTAATGGTACTTTTAATAAGTGGTTAGATGAATGGAATGTTTGTTGTGTAAGAAAAAGACTTCAAAACTCAAGAATTGCCTATGTGCCAATTTTGCCTCAATGAAATAAATTGGAGGGAATGATATCTAATCACAATTGAATTAATAATGTTGGACATTAAGGTGGATTAAGGTAAATGAAATGATGAATGGATTAATTGTAAACCCAATTAGGTCACTTGATTAGTAAAGTGGACAATTAGGGTTAATGTGAAAAATGTCATTGAAAATGAATATACAATGACCTAAGTGGTAATTGATAGTGAGGAATCTTTAAAGAATGATTAAAAATCATGGAAAATGTGTAATTAGGGGTACACATAATTCGACTATCAAGTGGTTTTAATTACATTGGAAAGTTTGGTAAGTTGTTCAAATGATGACTACTTAATATTAAATGTTGAAATGAACATAGAATAAAGAATGAAAAGCTTGAAATTAATATGGAAATTGTGGGGCCACTATTCGACCATCAAAGAACTAATAATCTAAAAGGTTGTTTAAATTCAAGTGGAGTTATTAAGAGAATGTAGTTATGTCACCTAGTTTAATTGATAAATTAATATCTAGGTGTAAGTTGTTAAATTATAAGTGACACTCATTTAGAAATTAATGGTATATTGTTTGTGATCATATTGTGTGACCAGGAAAAGTAAAGTTGAAGATCAAGTAGCATGATAGGGAACTTTACAGGTAAGCTCTATATTTAAGGAGTTTTCTTCTAGCTCATTGTCCTACCATTATCTATAACAACCTTTAATATCAAGTTAGGTTAAACAAGGAAATCAAGCAAGTGTTTAAAAAAATCAAGTGAAGTTAACAAGGAATCAAGTAGTGTATGTTCAAGGGAATTGTGACAAATTGTGTTAAATAATGATCAATTGATCATGAAATCAAGATGATAAGATATACAAGGATACAATTCATATCAGATAAGCCTAATAAGACCCTAATATAAATATAAGGTATATGTGGGGACATAGATGTCATTATGTAAAAACTCAGGAATAGTTTGGTAATTGACCAAGGTGAGGTCAAAGCTTGATTTTGATAATGTAATTAAATTCTACAGTTAATTTCAAGGGTTCAAAGTGATCTTATTATGATCAAACAATGTCTAGATTAATTTCTAAAAATAGGTCAAAGTATGGAAATTAATAAACCAATGGAATTTGATTTAAGTCAAAGATTATTACAAAGTTGTCAAGTTAGTAACATGACCTAACTTTGTGAATTCTTTACATGATTTTTTATGGATGAGTGAGTTCTTTGTGACTTGTATGTTATATATTCAAGAAGGTCAAAGTTAAGTGAAGACCAACCAATGAGAATTAAGTTTGACTAGTCTTGAACAAATGGACCAATGAATGTAAAGTTTGAAAGTCTAGAGGTGTAAAAATTGACAAGTAAGCAAGCCTAGTCATCTATGCACTAATGTGACGGTTCCTTAATGACTAAGAGTTCTAGAATGTTGTATTGGAAGATGACAATACAAGTGGGAAGTTTAAAGACCAATAGGAGTTAAGCAAGTGTGTAAAGTTGTAAAGTTAAGTAACTTTA